CTCAGCAACAATGTTATCTTTTTATTTACCCTCAGGGATGAGGGAACTATTTCAGTACAGGAAAGATATGATTATCAGTATTTATTTAAATAGACATATTTGATCTTAAATTTCATTTAAAACTAAGTCTGTTTGATCATCTACTATAGCTTACATTGCATTACCATCCTTCGCAAGTTATGCACCACACTTTCCATACTGTTAAATACTTTTAAAGATACAGTAAAGATACAGTTAGTTGGCTGTCTAACAGAACACTTCTTCTGAGCTGAAAAATGAAGCCTCTCCACAGGGAATAAAGGAACCAGCTTCCTTTAGTTGGAGACTTTAAGGATAAACATGCGAAAGTGACTCAGCTCATCATGTAGCACAGGTTGCAACAACATAGTGAATGAAAGTCTGTTTAGGATTAATATGTTCACACGGAAGTGTGACTGTCCCTCTCTATCAAACTTGCAAAGCCAAACCGTTATCACAACATTTCTTCAGAAAACCCTTTATAGCAAGTCTTTCTGTTGCAGATGGAAGCCCCAGTGCTTAACTGCAATTCAACAAGATATAAATAAGCAGAAGAGAATTCTGATGAGTTTCTCTTTTTCGAAATAATTTATCTTTCATTAAGTTAACAGTACTTTTCAGCTTGAAACAGCAGTGCTTAGTGGCATCAGACAACCACTCCACACAGTGTGATCTCTACTGACGTGCAAATCCCCCTCCAGCGAGTCATAGTTGCTGTGTGTTTCACAGCTACTTGGTGTCCACTAGGCCTCACCTCTGTTAATTGTAGTCAGTGAGCTCTCCTCTGTGTTTGTGCTGTCGGTGCCTTTTGGAGCATTGCGATCGAATTATCTAATGTAATGGGCTGCAGTGTTGTAAGGACTTTCCAGTAGATCGTGCTTTAGTTCTGGTGTGTGAAAAGCTAGCATTTGATTAGCCTGTTGCTTCTCACTAACAAGGTGAGTCTCAGTGTTCCACCCATAGCACTTTATGAACATGTAGAATATCTATCCCTAAAAAATGGCAAGGCTGATTATCAAAATGCTAACTGAAGATTCAAAATGCTCTTTTTTCTATACTTTCTATTAAAGATGCACTTTAAAAAATCAACACAGGCTGAAACCACCACACTTTATTACATACTGCATGTCCTTTTTTCAGCGTAATACATCAATTATCAACATCAGAATACATATGGCTCTGATTTCAAGGTACATAAATCGCTCAACAAAATACCCTGTCTGGACAAACAAACGATAGAAAGTGCACAAAAAAAGTTGGTTCAAGTCAACTGCATCACAAGACAGAACGGCTGTTGTGTGTTTTTTGAAAAGGAAAACCAACTTAATTAAAGCTTACATTCAGAAACCTCATCTGAGGACAGTTTAAATGGGACAGTATTAATCAGCTCCTCTGGTGCTTACAGAAGTAATGACGCCTCATATTAAAATCTCACACACGCATCTTCATAGAAAATTAAATAGAAACATATTTGGCACCATATTTTAGCATAGAACATAAAATTCAACTTGCAGTACAACAGTGTTCATACATGGAGGTAATATTTGAGTTTGGCACATTACGAGAACACTTTAAAAAGTCCATGTAATCCTATTTTATTACATGCTCAGTCTTCACTGAAAGGTTTCTAAGATAAGAGTATAAACTCACTGTATGGAACAAGAATTCCTCAGCAATAAAATGATCTTTCTAAAAGCCCACAGAGCCAGTAATCCTCACGGATAGCTACTGACTTGTGATTTTCATGTTACTGATAAAATAGCATATGATTTATGACAAGGAAAGCACCATATTTCCTCAGAGAATTGGGTTGCGGTTCTTCGGCGCCAGAATGGGTAATGTAAACAAATGAGTCGAGCGTGACCTCTGTATAGCCTAACAGACATGATCATATATTGCACTCTAGAAAGAATCACAAGTCACAAAGGGGTTGTCCTGGCCTGTTCAAACCATCAAACAAAAAGTTGGTATATAGATATAGAATTAATAAGGTATTCAGTAATACTATGTTTATTATAACCTCTTGTGTATATTAACATTGATATATAGATTATTTCAACATTATGATATGAAAGATACATATTTATACATTGCTATGAATATAGGCAGCTGCTTCTGTTGAACGGAAGCGGCGCCAGATATAACATAATAACTATTCTACGTATTTTCATCCAAACAAATACAAATAAATGCATTCACACGTGGCCCACGAGGAAAGCCGCTGTGAAACTCCATAGTGAATATGAATCGAAGCCTCCCATGCACAGAGAGGTTTCAATACAGGTCGAGACTGGTTTCCAAACAGGCCAGCGTGAACCTTAAAACCTCAGGATGCGTGCCGAAA